AAGCCCAAATTTATGCAGTGGAGCAGGCCCAGGCAGAAGAAAACCCAGGTACCATGACTGGGATGATTATTCTTAATAATTTTCCTATTTTTGCATTGTTTGACACGGGAGCATCTCATTCTTTCGTGTCAAAACAATGTATAGAAGCCATAGGAGTTCAACTCCTAGACACTGTTGATCCTCTTGAGGTAAGTTTAGCCTCAGGAAGAAAAATAGTGACAAGTTCCATGGCACGAGATCTTTATCTCAATATTGGAGGTCGTGTTTTGGGAATCGACGCATATGTTATCGAGATGAGGGATTTTGATCTTATTATCGGTATGGATTGGCTAACGCGTTATCGAGTAGATATTCATTGTCATGACCGGGAGGTGATTCTATATATATCAGAAGGTGATAAAATTTCTTTCTTCGGCTCCAAGATGCGAACGTTGCCTCAGGTGATTTCCATGGCGAAGGCACGGAAGATTGTTAGATGGGAGGAATGTCAAGGCTACTTGGTGAGTATCATGGACGAAGGTTCGAGAGCACAAACACCTCATGATGTTCCTATTATTCGTGAGTTTGTGGATGTGTTCCCGGATCAGCTACCAGGAGGACCACCTCGCAGGCAGGTGGAATTTACTATTGATTTGGTTCCAGGAGCAGCGCCAGTGTCGAAGGCACCCTATCGGATGGCACCAAAGGAGTTGCAAGAGTTGAAGACTCAAATTCAAGAATTATTGAAACTTGGTTTCATCAGACCAAGTGTTTCACCATAGGGAGCACCAGTGCTGTTTGTCAAGAAGAAGGACGGATCCATGAGAATGTGTATCGATTATAAGGAATTAAACCGGTTAACGATCAAGAACAAGTATTTGCTCCCAAGGATAGATGATTTGTTCGATCAGTTGAGAGGAGCTTGCGTATTTTCAAAGATAGATTTGCGTTCAGGCGATCATCAACTGAAGATTAAGGAATCCGACGTAGCTAAAACTGCGTTTCGGACAAGATACGGTCATTACGAGTTCGTAGTGATGCCGTTTGGAGTAAGCAATGCACCAGCGGTGTTTATGGACTTGATGAACCGTGTGTTCCACCAGTATTTAGACCAATTTGTCATTGTCTTTATTGATGATATTTTGGTCTATTCCAAGAGTCAAGCAGAGCATGAGCATCATCTAAGGGTTGTCCTCAGTACCCTTAGAAAGGAGAAGTTATATGCCAAATTATCTAAGTGTGAGTTTTGGTTGAAGAAGGTGGCCTTTTTGGGTCATATCATCACGGAGAGGGGCATTAAAGTTGATCCAGCGAAGATTTCTGCAATTCAGAATTGGACTGTGCCGAAGAATCCATCAGAAGTTCGAAGTTTTCTTGGACTAGTAGGTTATTATCGTAGATTTATCGAAGGGTTTTCAAAAATTGCACTCCCTTTGACGAATTTAACGAGAAAATCTGTGAAGTTCGAGTGGTCTAGCCATTGTGAGAAGAGTTTCCAGGAGCTTAAGAAGAAGCTCACATCAACTCCAGTATTAATTATCCCTGATCCTTCTAGAGGTTTCACTATTTATAGTGATGCTTCGAAAAGGGGTCTTGGATGTGTTCTTATGCAATACGGTCAAGTTGTTGCCTTTGCATCGCGACAATTGAAGCCGCATGAGCAGAATTATCCAACTCATGATCTAGAGTTGGCAGCAGTGGTGCACGCGCTCAAGATTTGGAGGCATTATCTTTATGGTGGCCAGTGTGAGATATTCACTGATCACAAGAGTTTGCAGTATTTATTCACGCAGAAGGAGCTCAATATGCGCCAGAGAAGATGGTTGGAGCTAGTGAAGGATTATGATTGCACCATTCATTATCATCCTGGTAAAGCTAATGTTGTAGCAGATGCCCTAAGCCGTAAGGTTAAGGGTGAGTTGGCCTGTTGTATTACTCAACAGAACCGACTTGTTCAAGAGTTTGCTCGGTTGCAGATAGAAGTTGTTCAGAAGTTGCCCAAGGAGATTTCCGGAAGCATCAGTTCGATGCAAGTTCAGCCCACACTAAGAAACAGAATCCGGAAGGAACAAGCGTTTGATCAATTCATTCGGAAGATAGAAGAGAAAGTTCGAGCTGGAGGAGTTGAAGGTT